ACGAGTATCTGTATTACTAGTACCGGGGTATCCCTTGACGAGTCTATCTAGTACTAGTACCGGGGTATCCCCTGACGAGTCTATCTAGTACTAGTACCGGGGTATCCCTTGACGAGTCTATCTAGTACTAGTACCGGGGTATCCCTTGACGAGTCTATCTAGTACTAGTACCGGGGTATCCCTTGACGAGTCCATCTAGTACTAGTACCGGGGTATCCCTTGACAAGTCTATCTAGTACTAGTACCGGGGTGTGCCTTGACGAGTCTATCTAGTACTAGTACCGGGGTATCCCTTGACGAGTCTATCTAGTACTAGTACCGGGGTATCCCTTGACGAGTCTATCTAGTACTAGTACCGGGGTATCCCTTGACGAGTCCATCTAGTACTAGTACCGGGGTATCCCTTGATGAGTATATGTAGTACTAGTACCGGGGTATCCCTTGATGAGTATATGTAGTACTAGTACCGGGGTATCCCTTGACAAGTCTATCTAGTACTAGTACCGGGGTGTGCCTTGACGAGTCTATCTAGTACTAGTACCGGGGTATCCCTTGACAAGTCTATCTAGTACTAGTACCGGGGTATCCCTTGATGAGTCTATCTAGTACTAGTACCGGGGTATCCCTTGATGAGTCTATCTAGTACTAGTACCGGGGTATCCCTTGACGAGTCTATCTAGTACTAGTACCGGGGTATCCCTTGATGAGTATATGTAGTACTAGTACTGGGGTATCCCTTGATGAGTATATGTAGTACTAGTGCCGGGGTATCCCTTGACAAGTCTATCTAGTACTAGTACCGGGGTGTGCCTTGACGAGTCTATCTAGTACTAGTACCGGGGTATCCCTTGACAAGTCTATCTAGTACTAGTTCCGGGGTATGCCTTGACAAGTCTATCTAGTACTAGTACCGGGGTACCCCTTGACAAGTCTTTCTAGTACTAGTACCGGGGTGTGCCTTGACGAGTCTATCTAGTACTAGTACCGGGGTATCCCTTGACAAGTCTATCTAGTACTAGTACCGGGGTATGCCTTGACAAGTCTATCTAGTACTAGTACCGGGGTACCCCTTGACAAGTCTTTCTAGTACTAGTACCGGGGTGTGCCTTGACGAGTCTATCTAGTACTAGTACCGGGGTATCCTTTGACAAGTCTATCTAGTACTAGTACCGGGGTATGCCTTGACAAGTCTATCTAGTACTAGTACCGGGGTACCCCTTGACAAGTCTTTCTTGTACTAGTACCGGGGTACCCCTTGACGAGTCTTTCTAGTACTAGTACCGGGGTATCCCTTGATGAGTATCTTTAGTACTAGTACCGGGGTATCCCTTGACGAGTCTATCTAGTACTAGTACCGGGGTATCCCTTGAGGAGTATCTGTAGTACTTGTCCCGGGGTATTCCTTGACGAGTATCTGTATTACTAGTACTGGGGTATCCCTTGACGAGTCTATCTAGTACTAGTACCGGGGTATCCCTTGATGAGTATATGTAGTACTAGTACCGGGGTATCCCTTGATGAGTATATGTAGTACTAGTACCGGGGTATCCCTTGACGAGTCTTTCTAGTACTAGTACCGGGGTATCCCTTGATGAGTATCTGTAGTACTAGTACCGGGGTATCCCTTGACAAGTCTATCTAGTACTAGTACCGGGGTATCCCTTGATGAGTATATGTAGTACTAGTACCGGGGTATCCCTTGACGAGTCTATCTAGTACTAGTTCCGGGGTATCCCTTGACGAGTCTTTCTAGTACTAGTACCGGGGTATCCCTTGATGAGTATCTGTAGTACTAGTACCAGGGTATCCCTTGACAAGTCTATCTAGTACTAGTACCGGGGTATCCCTTGATGAGTATATGTAGTACTAGTACCGGGGTATCCCTTGACGAGTCTATCTAGTACTAGTTCCGGGGTATCCCTTGATGAGTATATGTAGTACTAGTACCGGGGTATCCCTTGACGAGTCTATCTAGTACTAGTACCGGGGTATCCCTTGATGAGTATATGTAGTACTAGTACCGGGGTATCCCTTGATGAGTATATGTAGTACTAGTACCGGGGTATCCCTTGACGAGTCTATCTAGTACTAGTACCGGGGTATCCCTTGACGAGTCTATCTAGTACTAGTACCGGGGTATCCCTTGACGAGTCTATCTAGTACTAGTACCGGGGTATCCCTTGATGAGTATATGTAGTACTAGTACCGGGGTATCCCTTGATGAAGCTGCGGTACAGGTCTCCAAGCTGATCTCCACTGATATGTCTTGCCGGGTCGTCTGGGGACTTGAAGTCCAGGTCGTATTTCCCACTGCGGTAGAACTCGGAGGCGGCGACGTCCATCCCGATGATGATCTTATCGGGGTAGCCGGCCTTCTCAATGGCCGTCTTCAGGAGCTCCAGAGCTGCGGGGGGGAATACTTCAGATTAGTAGATGATACTTGATCAGTAAGATTTAAGACGGATGGTTTACATTGAGGTCAAACTGGAGAGTAGGCGGG